CCCAGGGAGGGGTCGCCTGCTGTTCGTTGAAGGCAAGGGCAATAACGTCTGTCACTCGCTGCCCCTGCTTCGGAGGTCCTCAACGACCAGCAGGGTGTAGGGGTTTGCTTTACTTGTCACAGCCTTCTTAGTGCTGGTATCAAAGTCCCCTATTCGATTTTCTAACAAGCGATGAAAACCCTGGATCAGAATAAATTATACAGACTCGCAATGGGATCCTGCGATCAGCCTGAAATCATTCGTGTGGATCTCTCTATAGAATTCCACCTTGACAAGAGTAATGCAGACTTGAAGAAAAAGTTTTCTTCTCGTAATCATCAATGTTGGCCCCTCAGATGGTGGAGTGAGGCCGCAAGGTCAGCAGTGTGCTTTGTTTAGGACTATTCACGTTCTGCTGAACGGTCGGGAGTTTGGTCTTCATAGCCACAACAAACAAGCTCCTTTCCCCTCAACCATTGCCTAGGGCTACCCCTTGTCCGCTCTGCACCCTTCCCCGACGGAATAGGATGTGACCCAATAGTGAAATATTTTAAACTGTCGATTTCCAATTTCCCAATTATGATTCCTTTGCCCGGTCAGAGATGGTACAAAAACTCGAACTACAGAGGGGAGTTGTAAATGCTCCTAGTCACAGTCACGCACAGTCCTGAATCAGCTTGATCCCCGTTACGGGGCTGCACAAATTGCTGAACTAGTACTTGGCATATTTAGAACGAGCGCGTATTCAATAAATAGAAATATCCTGGCGAACGAAGCTTAACCAGTTTACAGTCGAGTCTAGTTTCCCCCGTTCATGTAAGATCTCCAAAGCTCATACATCATCACTCACCCGATTCGTCGCTCAGTTCACTCTTTCTTCCTCACTGTGCCTCCCTTGTCTCTCACCAGTCTGGTATAGCTCGTGATCCAGTCCCTCGCTGAAAAGGGCCTTATGCCGAACAAATAAAAGGATTCAAAATAATAAATAAATTAAGAGTGAAAAGGGGAAAATGTTTAATATTGTTTGGAACTAAATAGCGGCGCACCAATCGACGGGATCGATTCAGAGTGCACCTGAGGGCTTGCCTCCAGCCCAAGTTTTATCATATCAGGATGATTTGGAGCGTACCAACAGTCATTTACCAGGACTTGGTTCAAGCAAGTCCGCGGGCAACCCAACAGACCACAAGCACAGGCTTGATCACGAGGAAAACCATCAAGCCAATCACCGTACCTGTTCGGAATAAACCGGAGACCCAATACCCCAGGTCGATTTGGACGGAACCAACGAGCCAATTCACAGGCTCGGCCCTCAGCCCCGAGCGTTTGATCAAGAGTAAGCAGCAAGCCAATACGCAGGCTCTGTTCTCAAATCCGTGTGATCTGATCGAGAGTAAGCAGCAAGCCAATTCACTGGGTTTGTCCTCAATTCCGAGTGATCTGACCGAGAGTAAGCAGCAACCCAATTCACTGGCTCTATCCTCAATTCCGAGTGATCTGATCGAGACTAAGCAGCAAGCCAATTCACTGGCTCTGTCCTCAATTCTGAGTGATCTGATCGAGAGTAAGCAGCCTGTTCGATTCACCACAAGTACCTGCTGCCTCACACGAAGAGCGCCAGCGGCTCAGGCTGATTAGGTCAGGCCTCTGCTGGGTCGATCATCTGTACGTGCGCTATGTACACCGGTGCACTGTCCTGCTCTCGTCCCTTCATGTCCCTTCCTCGCATCCACGAATAGGGACATTTCAGTGGGCAGGGTACACCAGGCACACTCCCCGATTTGAATGTCCCTGGGTTTGTTTATATTGCCCCAAGCCTGCGGCGCCTGGCAAGTGGAGAACACCAGTCCCTCACGGCTGGTACCTGTTCCATGACGGCGGGCCAGCACCGCACCGTACCCTCAGCACGAGGCTCACAAAATGGATTGGGACCAGGGTTTTAGGCCAGGATCGCCGAGTCAGCCGCCGTATCAGGAATGTATAGAACTACAATGGGTGTCTTCAAATATTACCAGCGAATTGCTACAGTACCGGAGTAGGCCAAAAACTGTACCAGCCCGCACAGTTGTCGTATCCGCTCCAAAGATAGTGGCCTGCAACAGCCCCAAACGAGAGCACGGTGCCATATCAGGAAATTCCCAAGTCAAAAGTCCCTGTACCGTGCATGTGCCAGACCAGTAACCGTGCCACTGTGACCAGGCTGCCGTGGAGTCGAACCTGTTACAAAAATAAAAATATCGAGCCGGGGTGGGCTGCGGCAGTACCAGATTAGACCATGTCCACCCCGGTTCCCGTACGACAATCAGCGCACCATGGGAACTCAGCAAAACACGGGTGCCACACACTCGATAATTCCCAGGTTATAACTAGGATAACATTTAAGTAAACTCTGATTAAATCGCCGTTGTCATTGCTTTTTATCATTTTTAATTTATTATTTTATTTTTAATTTCGTCATTACATTAGATAAAATTTGAGGCCTCTTTCCTTGCCAACAGGTCAGTGTGGAAATGACCATGCGAAAGCCCACTAGCTCATCCTCGTTCTGTGGCTGGCCAATTCGAAGACAGCCTCAGTATGGACGGAAAAAAAAGCAGGCGCCAGGCGCGGTAGAGACGGCGGCCCAAGTTATCAATTTTAATGGTTACTACCAGTGATCGATGCTGAAAATTCCAGAGTTCATCTTAGGACCCCTAATTTTCACCAACAGTTCCGACAAGAGTGCCCGAAGAATCTTAACTGGCGTTCGGTTGAGGGCCCGATTCCTTTTATTTCGGGTGGCCAACCGGTCTGCGGCCGCCCGACACTGGGACCAGATTCAGAGGCTACCCCCCGGTACTAGGGAGTTCGCGGTACAGCAGGAGAAGGAAATTGCCAAAGTGGTTGAGAACCTCCAGAAGGCCCAGCACAGAATGTTAGAGCAAGCTAACAAGCATCGTCGCCCGTCACAGTTTCATGCAGGCGACTTTGTCTGGGTCAAGTCCAAGGAGTTCACTCCTGAGGAGAACATCTCGCAGAAACTGTTGCCTGTGTATAGAGGACCGTGGCCAGTTCTAGAAGTCAAAGGCGGAGGCGACGGACTGTCCTACACCATAGAAATTCCAGCACACCTCCACACCTACCCAGTTTTCCATGCGTCAAAGTTGTTTCCTTGCACTACGAGTCAGCAGTTCCCATCGAGAAGGTCCATGATCCCTCCTGATGTGGACGGAAGGTACGACATTGACGGCATAGTGGATGAAGATGTGTTCAGGACAGGAGGCAGAGGTCGTCCACAGAAACAGTATAAAGTCAGATTCGCTTGCCAAGAGCCCAAGAACGATGACTGGTTTACGCAAACAGAACTTCTAGAAACAGCTCCCGACATAGTTCGTGCCTACGAAGGAGCTAAGAAAGGTAAAGATCCTACTATAGATTGAAATATTCTCGGAGGACCTTGAATTTAGGCCGGCGGGAGTGAAACGGTTTTCACCTTTGTGGTAGCAGTTGCAGTTCCCAGAGCTCGATCCCCAGACCTCTCCCTTACCCGTGTACAGTACTAGTCGACCCGTGTGTGCTCGAACCCGCGACCTGTGGCTTGGAAGTCGCCTGTTTGTTTGCTGTAGGTAGGGTGGTCGTCGGGTCTTGAACCGTAGGTCTGTAGGTTAGAGGTCTTACCATTGGTAGGAGTCATAGCTGCTACAGTGTTGAAAGGTCAAGTCGTAGGTGCTACAGTACTGAAGGGTCAAGTCCACAGACTTCCGGAAGGTCCGGAACTGACCCTTCGTGAGTCCTAGTAGGCAGTCCGTAGGCAAGTGGTCAAGTGGGCGGTCTTACCTTGCTCAGTCAACGGTACCCAGTCCCAGTCGCACCTTGTCAAGTCAGCAAGTACCAGGTGGGACTGCGTGCACTTCGGGCCCGGTGGAGAGAGGCAGACCAGTGACAATCCAAAGTATAAATAAAGAGGCAGTGATCAGTCATGGAATTCATTCTGCCTGTGAGCCGTGCGGAAACTCTGTCAGAGTGTGTTGTGTATGAGGGTCTGCAGGTGCCTGAAGAAGAAGTGGGCTAAGAGGAGGAAGTCGGCCATAGCCGAGCTTGTTAGTCGAGAGGAGGTAGATGGCGGCCATAGCCGCCACGTCAGAGAATCAGTAGATGTTAGTAGGTGTGTATGAGCGAGTGTTCGTGTGTGTGAGTGAGAGTGCGGGACATCCAGGGAGATCCAGGGTGTGTGTACGGACAAGTTGCTGAGAGTACCGGGATTGGCCATAGCCGATCAAGACAAGTTTGAATCTGAACTGCACTATTGGCTTCGTTATCTCTGAGCTTTGTGTGGGCGCAAGTCGCCAGCTTGATCGTCATCTGTTTGTACGCATGCTGAGTGTTGAGAAAGACTAGTCTGATTGCATATCTTGTCCTCCTCTGTTATTACTCATCAGTAACCAAAGAATACATGATTGAGCCTAGAATCAATGTCCAATGGATCTTCCTAGCAAACAGAATAAATTCCTTCATCCGTTCTCTCCCAGGCTCACCCCTTGGTAGGACTGCTAAATCCAGCGTGTTATCGTCGTCCGTTAGCGGAATGTACAGAGGACAATGGAAGAGTCATACCAGATGTTCCAGGTTTGGAATTCAGTTGTTGAGAGCTTTGATTATCCCACACTAGAACAACTTGGATGAGGACCAAACTAGAACAGCTGGGATAGAACCCTTTCAATCTTGCATCATGGACACACAGTGCTATTGTTTGCCATTGATCTTCAGGGTCAGCAGTGGAACGTTCTGTAAGTTGAAAGAGCCTCGTTGTGAAAACAGCTGGGTTTGTGTGTGTAGTCAATCTACACAGAGTGAAACGGTTCCTAAGGAAACTGTGAAAGGCAGTGCCGATGGGTACTCGAAAGTGACGAAATTTGAAGCTATCGCTACTGAACAAAACAAAATTGGATGATTGGACAGGGCCTCAACTTCTGGGAAAAGACTTCTTGAATGACTGGTCTAATCTGTTGATTGATGACACCCTGTTTTTGTCCTAAATCCAGGCACATGTCTGTAAGCACTTGCAACAAGAGGCACGGGGATGTGAATATTTGGTTCTTTGGCTTGACTGTGATCGGGAGGGGGAAAACATCTGCTTTGAAGGTATTACAAAACGCACGTACTCCTCCACGTTATGGCTTGACTTTTTTTTTTCTTTCCCCAAACACAGAATCTTAGGGTTCTTCCTCCTTGTCCATTCTGGGGAGCATCAGTCCAGTTCCTATTCCATCGGCAAGTCAGAAAGGATTACAATACACACTCACACATGCTCCTCCACCTTATGGTGTGACACTGTGAACGCATGAAGGACGCCATTGATTACTTCGGGACGGAAGTATTTACCATCCTTCACCCCTGAGTTAGCCTGCTCTACTTGCTTCTGGCCTTGGTTGTTGGTGTGATTAACCCTATCGCTTTGGTTCTTGCAGCTTGCCTCGTTGGGCTTCAACTGTCCTGTTCCTCTAAGCTCCTTGACTGTCGGATTTTCTATACATACTAGAACTGCTGGTTCCGCCTTTTCCCGAGGTCTTTGCTACAAACCTTAAGCCATTCCCAACTTGATTGCTACTAACTTTGCTAAAGCCCTAAACCCTAGCTGTCCTTCCTTCCCCTTTTTAGGTGTTGGCTGTTACCCTTGCTGCAACCTCGAATCTTAGCAAACATCAGTCTGGATTTACTCACTCCTAGTAACCCTTTTCTGTAAGTGCTGCCTTGCTGAAGCCTGGGACCTGGAACCTGGGACTGTGGTTTCCTTAGCCTTGGCTCTTGCTACAAGGAGCGGCTTTGGGTGACATCCTCTATTTGTTAGGCAGTGACGTGTGCTTAGTGCACTTCTTGTCGTCTGTATCAGTCCCTAAATATGTAGGCCTACCGTTCTTCCTACTCCTCTACTGTGACCCAGGTTATCGTGCATACCGACGTGGTCTTCTAATGTCTTTAATCGTGTGGTGGCTTCTTGGTTCCGGTTGTTCACCTGCTGCGTTAGTGCTAAGGTGAGATCAGGTCGATGTCCATGGGATTTGGTGTGCTGTTAAGTGGATTACTTAAAGCTCGGTTCTCTGGTCTCCCGTCCTCCCATAGTCTGAACTAATGGTAGCTGTCTTTCCCTTTGCTAGGTAGTTTTCTTCAAATTCTGTTTAATTTATTTTGCCTTATCCCCCTCCCTTCGCATTTCCCTCTTCACTCTGCACCCAAAAACCCAGTATTTGGTTTCCATTTGCTGTTGGACTAAGCTCCAAGCTTCTTGTCTGTGCAATGCTTATTTGTCAAATGTTTCTTGACATCTCTTCCATAAAGCGGCCTTTCTGAGTATTTGAAAAGTGCTATTCTCCAATGGGGACCACTCTTCGGGGATATGGAACCCTAGTAGCAGGAGGATAGGGTTAGCTGCCCGCTGGACACTGGAAAGTGTCTCCCAGATATTGTTTATTTTCTGCCACAGGGGTCTTATCCTGGGACACAGGATGAAACAGTGGAAAAGGTCTTCCTCTGAGCAAGTAGCACATAGTTCCCTAAGAGGATTTCTGTCTTCCATTCTCCTCCATTTGTTTAGCCATTGGTTCAACGGGACTGGTAAGTAAAGCATCAGCCATTGTAGACTTCTAAGTGTCTCCACCAGCGTTCTGCTATTATTGATTCTGGGCAGCTGATCTGCGTCTTAGTTTGGATCCTATTTATGTTAATTGAGGAGGTTAAATTTGAGGCTTATTCCTGTATTCTGTTGTTTCAGATTCCATGCCCATTCAGTTGGGCTGACTTCTGTGAGGATTGAGCCCTCAAGAAGGGGCCTTGCCATGATGTACATGTTCTGGGCCAAGGCCCCAGCAAGCCTAGTGCCCGCCCTAAGTGAAGGCGGGCCAGCAAATCAACAA